TCTCTCTCTCTCTCTCTCTCTCTCCCTCTCCCTCTCCCTCTCTCTCTCTCTCCTCTCCCCCCCTCAGGTGGTGGAGCGTCTCCTCTGCCTCCCGGTTGATTACTGGGCTCAGTTTGTTTCGGTGGGATGTGGAACTCCCAACCGGGACCACCTGATCATCGAGAATGCAAACTGCTACGCCACCCCCGAGAGAAGTAAGTGTGTTTTCTGGTGGATGATAAAAAGTTATTCCGTCTTCCATCGCAAACTGTAAACTAGGGCTGTGCGATTATGGCAAAAATCCTAATCACGATTATTTTGGTCAATAATTGATATCACGATTATTAAAAACGATTATCCATTTACTTTGAAAACATCCATTTATTTAAACAAAAATGTGAACAGTATGTTTTTAACAGTTGATTACCCTGAACTTTAAGTATAATTCAACTGAAAAACCAAAAAAAAATAATAATAATAATTACATTTTTTTTTTTTAATAAAAATAATAATCGTTTTATTTTGATTACGTTGTTTTCGTAATCGTTGCAAGCCAAAATCGTAATCGAGACTAAAATACGATTAATTGCACAGCCCTACTGTAAACCCACCTGTTACTCTATTGCCTCAGAGAGCACTGATGCAGCATCGCTTACAACGCTCTGGCTTGTCTAAATGTCAAAGTGAATATGTCAGCTCTGTTGTTCTTAGATTGAGTCCTTAGGTTTTATTGTACGTCGCTTTGGATAAAGCGTCAGCTAAATGCTATGTGATGTAAAATGGGTGTGTGATGATTGATCGATTGTTAAATGTGTTGGTTGTTGATTGATTGATTGTTAAATGTGTGTGTGTGTGTTGCAGTGAGCATGCTGGGACCTCTGAACACTCCGGACCACCAGCTCAATAAAACCCCGTCCTCCAGCTCTCTGGGGCAACGCATGAAGTCTTCCCTGACCCCCAGGTACACACACACACACACACACACACACACTCACGCCCTGTTTTATTATCACCGATTCATTTCCTCTAGATGTAATGTCGTGTGCTGTTGAGTACATGTTTAATAGATAGTTTGAGCTGCTTCTCCGTTGTCAGTGTGAGGTTTATTAAATCAGATCATTTATTTTACACACACATTTTTTTATACAACTACTTTTTACTGAGTGAGTGGTAAATGGACTGTACTTATATAGGCAGGGGTGCACATAACTGGTACGCATGCGCGGCAAACATCTGAAATGCGTACCGGCGGATTTGAGAAGCATTTCCAGAAGGCGCTTCGATCACTGGACGATGGAGTCAGTCGCCGTGCGCACAGATGGGGCTGCTGTTAACGTCGGTGTGTACAACAGAATTGTGCCACAACTTCTGGCGCGAGTTCCACGCGAGTGCTCCACTAGCGCCCACCCCCACCCCTCCCGTCGACGTTCAATACCACACCCCCAGCCACACCCCTCCCGTCGACGTTCAATACCACACCCCCAGCCACACCCCTCCTGTCGACGTTCAATACCACACCCCCAGCCACACCCCCCCTGTCGACGTTCGCAAAACAGAGGGGCGGAACACATAACCTTGCGTACCAAACATTGTCTCCTGGTACTCATTTGAGTAACTCACTAAGAAAGTTATGTGCACCCCTGTATATAGCGCTTTATCCAGTCTTTACGACCCCTCAAGGCGCTTTACATACTACATGTCATTCACCCATTCACACCCATTCATACGGAGCAGTGTACCTTACTCTAGGACCTAACATTCACACCCATTCATTCATTCAGAGCAGTGTACCTTACTCTAGGACCTAACACTCACACCGTTGGCCATCGGGAGCAACTCAGGGTTAAGTATCTTGCCCAAGGATACATCGACATGTTGACTGCATGTGCTGGGATCGAACCCACAACCTTCTGGTTGAAAGACGACCGCACTCCCTCTCAGCCACAGTCGCCCTAAGTGGGAGTTTCAATTCTCTACATTCAGCGTTTGTCATGTGACACCGTTTAATTTCTTCCAAGAAGTAAAGAATACATTAAAAGAATATAAACACAAGTATGGAGACACGTCTGTTCCTCCAAACTGCTGTAGAGGAGACTCACCTCACACTCACACAACCCCACTTACCAAACTATCCCTTTTAACTTCTTTGTTTTCCCATTGATGTTATGATTAATATCCGTTTGAACGAGGTGCTGCTGATTCAAAGGTTTCTGGAGAGTCGTAAAGAAGTTTAATTTAATGTGGAGAAACGCTGACTCGATTGAATATCTCTCGTAGGAGTTAATCTACTGCACCACGTCTCATTATCCTCCGATGGCTCTGTTCTATTGACCCTCTCTGCTTATTCCATTAAATCCCATAATGCACTCTGTGTTTCAGATTCGGGAGCAAGACAAAGTCGGCGGTCGGGTTTAATCGCCCGGGGAAGTTCTTTGCATCTCCGTCCCTGAAATAATCCAACGAAGAAGACCCACTTGACCTTTTGTTCACTCTGCAATAACAACCTCTTCCCCTCCATGCTTAACACATAACACGCTCCAAAAAAAAGGAAAGCTTCCAAGTTGGCTTCACAACCGTTTGAATATTTCACAATAGTTACGAGTGTGTTGATGATTTGACATGTTTGTAAAGGATGCCTTTTTTAAAAACCAAATAGATGTTTGCACACGTGTCTTTAGAGCTTCTGCTGAATGTGTAACGAGACCTTTTACTCCTTTTTAACGTGTGTTTTATATATCACTCTTTTTGAAAATATCTGCTGTATGTGCACGCTTTGATTGTGGCCTGCTTTAAATTCAACTCATGTGTCACTCAGAAGTTGAAGAACGGGATTTTTTTTTAAGGCATTTCATTGCAGGTTGTAATCAAAGGTGTGGTGAGGTGGCCAGTATCGCTTATCTTTTACGCTTTTTCAGTGTATGTATTTTACTTTCTATTGAGTTTTACGGTGGTCGACGGGTGCTAACGTGCTAACGTGCTACAGCGACACCACACTCTTCCATCGGGAGAATTGATGCAGATATAGAAACACAAATGTCCCTCATGAAGAAACACCTCCAGCAACTTGACATCACGTGCAGCTTTGAGAGAACATTCAGCAACTTGAGGAGACATGCGCTGCAAGAAGCTCAAAACACGTCACTGTTTAGTGTCCCCTGGTCTCCCAGCTGTGTGCGTCACTTTTTAGTGTCCCAGCTGTGTGCGTCACTCATTAGTGTCCCCTGGTCTCCCAGCTGTGTGCGTCACTCGTTAGTGTCCCCTGGTCTCCCAGCTGTGTGCGTCACTTTTTAGTGTCCCAGCTGTGTGCGTCACTCATTAGTGTCCCCTGGTCTCCCAGCTGTGTGCGTCACTCGTTAGTGTCCCCTGGTCTCCCAGCTGTGTGCGTCACTTTTTAGTGTCCCAGCTGTGTGCGTCACTCATTAGTGTCCCCTGGTCTCCCAGCTGTGTGCGTCACTCGTTAGTGTCCCCTGGTCTCCCAGCTGTGTGCGTCACTTTTTAGTGTCCCCTGGTCTCCCAGCTGTGTGCGTCACTTTTTAGTGTCCCCATGTCTCCCAGCTGTGTGCGTCAATCTTTAGTGTCCCCTGGTCTCCCAGCTGTGTGCGTCACTTTTTAGTGTCCCCTTGTCTCCCAGCTGTGTGCGTCACTCGTTAGTGTCCCCTGGTCTCCCAGCTGTGTGCGTCAATCTTTAGTGTCCCCTGGTCTCCCAGCTGTGTGCGTCACTTTTTAGTGTCCCCATGTCTCCCAGCTGTGTGCGTCACTCTTTAGTGTCCCCTTGTCTCCCAGCTGTGTGCGTCACTCGTTAGTGTCCCCTGGTCTCCCAGCTGTGTGCGTCACTCTTTAGTGTCCCCTTGTCTCCCAGCTGTGTGCGTCACTCGTTAGTGTCCCCTTGTCTCCCAGCTGTGTGCGTCACTCGTTAGTGTCCCCTGGTCTCCCAGCTGTGTGCGTCACTCTTTAGTGTCCCCTTGTCTCCCAGCTGTGTGCGTCACTCGTTAGTGTCCCCTGGTCTCCCAGCTGTGTGCGTCACTCGTTAGTGTCCCCTGGTCTCCCAGCTGTGTGCGTCACTCTTTAGTGTCCCCTGGTCTCCCAGCTGTGTGCGTCAATCTTTAGTGTCCCCTGGTCTCCCAGCTGTGTGCGTCACTTTTTAGTGTCCCCTGGTCTCCCAGCTGTGTGCGTCAATCTTTAGTGTCCCCTGGTCTCCCAGCTGTGTGCGTCAATCTTTAGTGTCCCATGGTCTCCCAGCTGTGTGCGTCACTTTTTAGTGTCCCCTGGTCTCCCAACTGTGTGCGTCAATCTTTAGTGTCCCCTGGTCTCCCAGCTGTGTGCGTCACTTTTTAGTGTCCCCTGGTCTCCCAACTGTGTGCGTCAATCTTTAGTGTCCCCTGGTCTCCCAACTGTGTGCGTCAATCTTTAGTGTCCCCTTGTCTCCCAGCTGTGTGCGTCACTCGTTAGTGTCCCCTGGTCTCCCAGCTGTGTGCGTCACTCTTTAGTGTCCCCTGGTCTCCCAGCTGTGTGCGTCAATCTTTAGTGTCCCCTGGTCTCCCAGCTGTGTGCGTCACTTTTTAGTGTCCCCTGGTCTCCCAGCTGTGTGCGTCAATCTTTAGTGTCCCCTGGTCTCCCAGCTGTGTGCGTCAATCTTTAGTGTCCCCTGGTCTCCCAGCTGTGTGCGTCACTTTTTAGTGTCCCCTGGTCTCCCAACTGTGTGCGTCAATCTTTAGTGTCCCCTGGTCTCCCAGCTGTGTGCGTCACTTTTTAATGTCCCCTGGTCTCCGTTGTGTTTTGAGCTTCTTGCAGCGCATGTCTCCTCAAGTTGCTGAATGTTCTCTAAACGCTGCAGGTGATGTCAAGTTGCTGGAGATGTTTCTTCATGTGGAACATTTGTGTTTTAATATCTGCATCCTTTCTGAAGCGGCAGCGTGTTTCTCCTGATGGAAGAGGTTTGAGCCGTCGTAGCGCGTTAGCACCTGTCGGCCTCCATAGTTTTGATCGTCTTTATCCTCCAGTAAATGTTGCTGTAATTGTTTACGCGCTCTCGGGCCTCTCCTGTCTAATAATTGGCATTATTCTCTGAGATACAGGGCGCACAATTAAAATATCTGCACTGCCGGTGATCGTCAGGTACTTTGTTCCCGGGCAGGATCATTTAATCTCGCTCTGCGTATTTTGGACTGGGAGGATGCTAACTAGCATGCTAAAGGCCATTACTTTGTAAGATTAGCCAGTTTATGTTGCTGTGGCATTATTTGAATATTTAGCACAACATTTTGTACACTTGCTCTAAAAGACCTGTAACTTATAAAATACATTTCGTACCAAAATTGTCTCCTTTGTTTTTTTTTGTTTTCTGAATCTTAATGCATTGATTTCATTCATTTAAAAATGTCCTTAATTGATGTTTAATTGTTTTAAACCGTCTTAAAAAGTGAGATTTAATAAATAAAATAAATTATATTGTCTCACTTTTTTTTTTTTATTTACCAAAAGCCTCTTGTAAAAATGTTCGAAGATCCGGGTCTCAGTCATAACTTGTGTGTCCTTACACAGAGGGTTGATTCAGATGTTTATTAACAATGGTTTGATGATGCATAATTATAAAAATGCATGAATTCAAAGCAGAATAACATCACAGATTATCATACCTTCTGTCCTGAAACAGTGTTGTTTTTGTAATATAATCTTTACAGTGAGCATCTTTGTACTTCTCCTCTACAGTTCAGAGGTACATGGTGTACTTTTCCTCCACTACATGTATTTAATTCCTTTAGTTACTTTACAGATGTGGATGAATGATGTGAAATATAATCAAGTGTTAAATCAGACTTTAGTTCCACCTGGAGTAAATCCACAAGCTACCCTGCAGTATACAAAGTCATTCAAACTAGCTGCACCTTTGCCAGCTTTGAGAACACTTTCATGATCAATCATTATAAAACATATCATATATATTATTCTGAAATGGACCAATCTGCACAATGACTACTTTTACTGTCGCTACTTTCACTATATTTTGATGAGAATACTTTTGTACTTTTACTTGAGGAACATTTTGAATGCAGGACTTTTACTGTAACAGAGTATTCCTACACTCTGGTACTTCTACTTTTACTCAAGTACAAGATCTGAGTACTTCTACTTTTACTCAAGTACAAGATCTGAGTACTTCTACTTTTACTCAAGTACAAGATCTGAGTACTTCTACTTTTACTCAAGTACCAAGACCTGAGTACTTCTCCCACCTCTATAGAGATCTCACAGAAAAGTCACATGACAAACTGTAAATATGATAAATTTATTTTACAAAATGACAGAAAAAAACATATTTGAACTTGATTGTGTTCATTTTTGGTGTATAAGTCCATCAGTTCAGAAGCCCTTGGGCCAGGGCCAGAGGAGGGGGGTGTTCCTGATGTAGTCCTGGAACTGAGGGTCCGCGCCCCACTTCTTCAGCGCCTGTTTCTCCAGGATGGGGATCCCGCTGACGTGGCGCAGCAGGAACCAGACGAAGAGCGGCGAGGCGGCGCTGAGCAGCTGAAGAGGACCCTTCATCACTGAGGAGGCCGACAGCCACAGACCCCCCCACTGCAGGATCTCCCCAAAGTAGTTTGGGTGCCGGCTGTACGCCCACAGGCCGCTCTGGATGAACTTCCCCTGAGAAGAGATTCAGACGAGACGGTTAGTGTTGGGAACATACTGAATGTCCTCTTCCAACATCAGAGCAACATGCTAACAAAGGTATCCCAACTGTAGCTGTGAACATGACAGGATGTATGATTACCTAGAAGAGCATCAGGACTGTTTGAGGCATATGATAGCTATGTGATTAACATGATGATTCAGCCTCTATGGAGATAGACATATGACAAGCATGCTCATTTCTGACGTGGAGCTAATCTGAAGTAAACATTGAATACTGCTTTCTATTCCTCCATCTTGTGACTGTGTAACTCCCTCTCTTGGATATCAGCATGTGAAGGACACTGTTCAGGAACTAGTTGATGCTCTGTATGTGATGACTACTTCCATTCTGGAGAGGATCACAGATACATGGATCCTGAGATTGAAGCTCAAGCTGGGGACCAGGGATTATTAACATTTTGAAGTATTCAGAAAAAGTCAGAATTTTTTGATTTTTGAGAAGTCAGAATTTTGAGAAAAAGTCATATTTTGAGAAAAAAAGTCATATTTTGGGGAAAAGTCAGATATTGAGAAAAAGTCAGAATTTGTGAGAATAAGTAATATTTTTTAGATTTTTGAGAATAAGTCATATTTTTGATAAAAGTCCGAATTTTTGAGAAAGTCAATTTTTTGAAAAAAAGTCAGAATTTAGAGGGAAAAAAGTCCGATTTTGAGAAAAGCCAGATTTTTTGAGAAAAGGGCAGAATTTTGAGGAAACAATTATATTTGGAGGAAATAAAATCAGATTTTGAGGGGAAAAAACAGATTTTGGGGAAAAGTCCGAATTTTTGAGAAAAAGTCAGATATTTGAGGAAAAAGTCCGGATTTTGAGAAAAATACCAACGAATTCTCTTTTTTTGTTTTGACTACTTCCATTCTGGAGAGGATCAGAAACACATGGATCCTGAGATTGAAGCTCAAGCCGGGGACCAGGGAGTTTTCTAACAGTTAGACTCAGGGTGATGAGATGTCTGTCTTTCACATTACTTGCACTACTTTCTTTCTACTCCGTTTCTTTTTGCATTATTTGTATTGTTTTAAGTCTCATATATTTATGTTGCATCGTTGGAGGTGCTTGGGACTTCTTCATTGCCATAACTACACTGTAGCTGTTGTGCATATATGATGAGCGCAGGAGACTTTGGATTCATGATGGCTTAACTGTACCCAGAGCTGGACGACAGAGAAGCCAACAGAAGAAGACGGGAAGTAAACACTGACTGCATATTCCCTGTCCCTTATGCAACAAATCGTTTTTAATGGGATGCATTACTGTCAGCTAAAGTGCATGCATTTATAACATTGTCTCTCTGCAAACACAGAGCATAGTCCACATTAATAAAGTGCATCTTATCTAATCTAGTTTTTCTCCAAACCTCTGTAACTATACATACTGATGAATATCTCCACAGGTGGAGGTAGAAAGCTGTGTTTTTTTGGACGAACTGTCCCTATAACTTACAGCGTTTCCCGGGTCGTTCTTGAAGATCCATTTCTGCTGGTCAGCGATGGCTTCAGTGGCGAACCCGAGGCCCCAGAGGCCCCAGCCGATGAAGTCCCTCGGGCCCAGAGGAGCGTCTCTCTTCTCACTGTTCAGCATGAGGGTGGGCAGCAGCGTCATGAACACCCACAGCGCTGAGAGGAAACAGAGAGTATTAATCACCTTCAACTGGGGACTCAATGAATTCAACGCACCAGAATAAATCCATACTGAGAGAGAGGAAGCAGACAGAGATTAATGCCTCCGTTAGTTAAAGGTCTCCTATCATGCAAAATGCACTTTTTAATGTCCTTTACACACGCGTGTCCCCGGTGTGTCGGGAGACTCACGCAGCGTCAGAAAACAAAACCCTCTCTCTTTTCCTCCGTACCCAAATCTCTAAAAACGGGGGAACAACGGAGCTGATCCAGATTTGCGTCCGATATGACGTAATATCTGAAATGTAGGCGGGCTTTACACCCACGGGCCTATCAGAAACGTTGCTGCCAGAAACAATGCACGACGTGTTTTGGACGTAATATGGTCTGTGTTTACATTAGCATCGCTAACACTCAGAGCTAACCTGTACTGGAGAGAGTGTGTGTGAAGAAGCAGGAAATAAAAAGGAAGTCACCTTGTGGTAAACCTGAGAGAGAGAAAGAGTTTGAGCTCCATACTGTTTCAGACATAATCCTTGATGTGGTTTGGAACATGATGGCGTTTAATCACGGCAGCATTTAGCCGAGTATCTGCCGGGTAATTCTGAGCAGGCATTAGCTCCACCTCCTTTTTTTAAAGCTAAGGACCCGGAATCAGCCCTTTAGTTACAGGGCTGGAACAGAGTGATATGAGGGATTTCTAAAATGCATGATCTGTTTGGTATTTTCAGCAAAACACATCATAGACATGTTTTTATATATATATATATATATATCTGAGACCCATAATATATGCCTAAAAATAGCATGATAGGAGACCTTTAATGAGGATGCGTTCAAGGAGCGCAGCAGGAGGGTATATTTGCACCTTGGACGTTCCAGTACACGAAGAATGTCCCCGGGCTGTCTCTCACGTTGTTGAACCTGCGATCCTGGCCGTCCTTCAAGATCCGCATGAAGAGGAAAGTCCCGAGTCTGAGAGGACGACATTAACCAGGAGAATTATTCATTAACAGACGCTCAGCTTCCACATTCATTAGTTCCTGCTCCGACCTCCAGCTCGACCCTGCAGCACACAGCCTCTAAAAGGAGCATGACATATACAAATATATAACATTATTCTGTTGGAACTGTGTTATAAGCTGCATTATATATATACTTTATTACCAACAAATGGTGTGCGCCAAATGGTGCGCCAAATGGTGCGCCAAATGGGGGGGAAACCTGGGGGAAAACAGGCAATAGAGTCCTTTCACACTGCTGGTAGACAAGTATGCCTTTTATACAGAGGGGGGAGGAGTACTCAGATCTTGAGTAGAAGTATTTGTATTTGGAACACCCCCCTCCTCTGGCCCAAGTGCTTCTAAACTGATGTACTTATACACCAAAAATAAACACAATCAAGAAAATGTATCATATATTTACAGTTGTAAAATATGTGCCTTTTTTGTGAGATCCCTTCAGAGGTGGAGAAGTACTCAGATCTGGTACTTGAGTAAAAGTAGAAGTACTCAGATCTATTACTTGAGTAAAAGTAGAAGTACTCAGATCTTGTAGTAAAAGTAGAAGTACTCAGACTTTGTACTTGAGTAAAAGTAGAAGTACTCAGATCTTGTAGTAAAAGTAGAAGTACTCAGACATTGTACTTGAGTAAAAGTAGAAGTACTCAGATGTTGTACTTGAGTAAAAGTAGAAGTACTCAGATCTTGTAGTAAAAGTAGAAGTACTCAGATTTTGTAGTAAAAGTAGAAGTACTCAGATCTTGTACTTGAGTAAAAGTAGAAGTACTCAGATTTTGTACTTGAGTAAAAGTAGAAGTACTCAGATCTTGTACTTGAGTAAAAGTAGAAGTACTCAGATCTTGTAGTAAAAGTAGAAGTACTCAGATTTTGTACTTGAGTAAAAGTAGAAGTACTCAGATTTTGTACTTGAGTAAAAGTAGAAGTACTCAGGTCTTGTACTTGAGTAAAAGTAGAAGTACTCAGATCTTGTACTTGAGTAAAAGTAGAAGTACTCAGATCTTGTAGTAAAAGTAGAAGTACTCAGATCTTGTACTTGAGTAAAAGTAGAAGTACTCAGATCTTGTACTTGAGTAAAAGTAGAAGTACCAGAGTGTAGGAATACTCTGTTTCAGTAAAAGTCTGATTTAAGACCTGATTATATTTAGAGTTGTAACGACTCTATACGTGAGGTGTGTTCTACCTGAGCCCCCACGCTGTCACCAGGCCCGTCTGAACGTTCTGCCTCAGGTGAGAAGCTCCTCCCCACACCCGGCTCAGGTGGGCCAGCAGTATAAAGGTGCCGGATCCTGGAGGAAATAAAAAGAGAGATAGAGGTCGAGCTGGAGGATGGCAGCACAGTAAGGCGTGTTCAATAAATCTTTTACCCAGGATCCTGCAGACACCGGGTCCAAAGTTCAAGGGTAAAACCACCGAGGAGCGAACGAGACAGAGCGAGCATTGGAGGAATTATAAAGACATCTGACAGGTAAGCTGCTCCGATAACATTCATATCTGGGTTTAACCCTAAAAGCACCTACGTTTTCTTATTTCTCGTATTGTTTTTCAACTTTATTGTCATTTACCTTTCAAAGACTCACAGTAGTCTAGAAGGGTGAAAGGTGACAAGGCTGCAAATAAAAGTTATATTAGTCAGTATGTTCATTACCCATTAATCTGCTGCAGTCTATAAATGATTTAAAGAATGTTGTAAAATGTTTCCCAACGCTCAGGGTCACACCTTCCCAACGCTGCGAACAGCTCAAAGCCAAAAGAAGTTCACCTTATTATCACGGGAAACCTGAATAAATCCTCACAAATAAGAAGCGAGGGTTGATTTGAACCTGAGAAACTAGTCATTTCAGCTCCAGAGGCTTTAATGAATTAATAATGCTAATTGTATGCTTAGCACACAGACGAGAAGCCAGGAGTGAGTTTAGACTGAAAAATGACATACATTTATAAGAAAGACATTAATAATGCTAATTAAATGCTTGTTTTGTTCGACCTACTGTTCAAAACTCCAAGAAATTCAATTAACTATCACTTGAAACAGAAGGAAATCCTCACAATTAAGAAGCCAGGACTGATTTTAGGCCGAAAAATGACATAAATGTATATAAATAATTTGTGTTAAGAGACTTTTATAAATGCTTTATGCTAATTAAATGCTTGTTTTGTTCGACCATACTGTTCAAAACTCCAAGAAATTCAATTTATTATCACATGAAACCAAAATAAATCCTCACAAATAAGAAGCTAGGGTTGATTTAGCCTAAAAATAAAAAACGACTTAAATGAAAGTCTGTTGATCGGCTAATTAATAAATCAACTAGTAACTTCAGCTCTAAAAGGCTTTAATGAATTAATAATGCTAATTAAATGCTCGTTCTGTCGTGAAAATCCACACAAATGAGAAACCAGGACTGATTTTAGGCTGAAAAATGACATACATTTATAAAAATATTTTTTGATGATCGTCTAATTTAAGTAATCAACTAGTAACTTCAGCTTTAGAGACTTTTATAAATTAATGATGCTAATTGAATGCTTGTTTTGTCCGACCAGCTGTTCAAAACTCCTAGAAATGCACTTTATTATCAAATGAAACTAAAGGAAATCACACAACTGAGAAGATAGGACTGATTTTAGCCGGAAAAAAATCAATTATAATTCAATCAGAACATACAGTCATTTGGTCGTTTCTATTAAGCAGGGACAATTAGAAACGTTCTCATGTTTTCTTTAAAATAATTCTCAAATATTTAAAATTAATAAGTGAAAAAAATTAATTGAAAAATGTATTTAAAAAAGTGTGATGAAAAAAATAATTCAATTGAAAGAAAGAAAATAAATATGTAAATATGTCAAAATGTATTTTTTTTTATTAATTAAAAATCCTAAATGTTTTAAGATGCATAGAGGATTATTACTTAAAAGCCGATAACAGTCAGTATTCTTATAAAATACAATAATTAACGAGAACAATCTGACCCTATTCCTATCAGGTTAATTAATAATTGTGTTGATTCATTAATTGTACAAATGCAAAGTGAGCCCAAGCAGCCAGGCTGTGTTAATCCCATGGTTAATCCTCATTAGGGGGGGCTTTTTCTATTTAGTTAAGAAGTCCCGGATCCCTCTGCAGACCCACTACTCTGATTGGATCTGACTGGATCATGTGACGCTGTTTCTTAACCTGAAGGAGGAGCTCTGCCTGTTTCACAACAAAGCCGCAGATAGCAAGTTTCATAACGATGACAGCGGAAAACACATTTATGTAATGAAGTTAAAACTCACACAGCTGAATAACTGCTAAGGAAGCTAATTCAAGGTTCATTTGATTCAGTTCGAGCACCAATCAGCGTGCAGGATAGAAACCCAAAGCAGAGTGTGCTGGAAAAACATGAACATCCACACAAATGAGAAGCTAGGACTGATTTGAGTGATCAGCACGTGGCCTCAGTTGAGACATTTACCTGCCAGGTCGTAGAACTTCTCGGTCCGCAGGGCAGCAGCCAGAGCCCAGCCCCCCCACTGGAGGCCCAGGTCTGCGGCGGCGCACTTCAGCAGAACACTGCCCATCATGAGGTGCTGCAGGGCGGCCAGGAAATAGTACAACTGACCGGGGGAGATCATGGAGGAACAACCACTCCTCCTCCTCCTTGTATTCCTCCTCCTCCTTCTCTTCCTCCTCCTCCTGCAGGAGTGTTGTTAACTGCTCTGGCTAAAGTTCGAAGCTGCCATTGTGGAGCTGTGCCGCAGGGAACTCTGGGTAGTGTAGTTGTTAGAGGATCAGTGGTACTACAAAATACTTGGTAAAATGAATTCCTCTGAATAAAATATATGCATAGTTGTATTTATTTGCTTTTTATTATATTTTAATTTTATTTGTTTGATATATTATTTTTTCATTATTCTTTTTGTATTTATTTGCTTTTTTATTGTATTATTTATATACATTTTGTTTCATTTATTTGTATTGAATTCTTTATTTTTTATTATTATTTATTATTTTATATATTTATATATTTCTTTGTGTTTTATTTTTTTATTTTGCCGAATTCTATTTATAATATCATAACCATGGATGTGGGAGGAGCTATGCCGCAGGGAACTCTGGGTAGTGTAGTTATTAGAGGATCAGTGGAGGGAGAAGTCTGCAGAAAGAGCCATTTCAATGTAATGTGAGACATGTTCCTTTCACTAAACTCCACATATATAGAAGCAGACATGAGGCTTTCATCAAACACATCTCTCTGGCCCTTTCTCATTTCACTCATTAACCCTCCTCGACTCCTCGACTCCTCGGTCCTCGACTCCTCGACTCCTCGAATCCTCGAATCCTCAGTCCTCCGGTAGTGACCCGGAAATGGATTTCAGCATGCCATGTTGAAGGACATCTCATTTCTCTAACCGCTTGCTGCTTGACCCTCCTCTCTCCTCGGTTCCCCTCCTCGACTCCTCCGCTCGCATCTCCTGTGGGCGGGACTAAGACACGAGGAGGGGAGTCGAGGAGGGGAGTCAAGGAGGGGAGTCAAGGAGGGGAGTCGAGGAGGTCAATATATCTGTGAAGTCTGTCTATAGATGCAGAGGTAATGGAGGTCAGAGAGGTCAGGAGGTCAGGAGGTAAATATATCTGTGAAGTCTGTCTATAGATGCAGAGTTCAGGAGGTCAGGAGGTCAATATATCTGTGAAGTCTGTCTATAGATGCAGAGGTCAGGAGGTCAGGAGGTCAATATATCTGTGAAGTCTGTCTATAGATGCAGAGGTCAGAGAGGTCAGGAGGTCAATATATCTGTGAAGTCTGTCTATAGATGCAGAGGTCAGAGAGGTGGATTATATGTAATCTTAATCCTGTTTCATTCTTCTTCTTCTTCTTCTTCTTCTTCTTCTTCTTCTTCTTCTTCTTCTTCTTCTTCTTCTTCTTCTTCTTCTTCTTCTTCTTCTTCTTCTTCTTCTTCTTCTTCTTCTTCTTCTTCTTCTTCTTCTTCTTCTTCTTCTTCTTCTTCTTCAGGAATCGACTCAATCCAGATTGTAGAAGATGGCAGAGAATCCAAAAGGCGGCTCTGGAGACTTTGCTAAGAAAGTCCAGCGTCGGCTGAGTCGAGGCAAAGAGAAGGTGAGGGATAGTCTGCAGGGGATGAAAGAAACGTAATGATCTGTGTATGTATTTACGTATTACGTGTGTTTCCTCAGGTGCTGCAGAGACTGGGGAAGACGACGGAGAGCCGGGACGAGCAGTTTGAGTACTTCCTGCTGCAGTTCAATGATCAGCAGGTCAGGCAGCGTGCAGCAGCCATCGCTCCTTCACTGGAAACACAATGACACGTTTTTGCAAAAATCCAGAAATATAAATAAAGAAAAATTTAATTAAATATAATATAATTATTAAAAAAAAGATGTACAAGAAACATTAACATAGAAATAAAATACTATGAATAAAAAATAAAAACAAATACATATTAAAAAAAAGACTTATACAAGAAACATAAATACGGAACATTAAAAAATATAATTACATTGTAAAAAAAATATTTTTAAAATAAATACAAGAAACAATTATGGGGTAATATGTGGGTTTTATCTGAATAAAGATAACAGAGTATGTGAAAATAGAAAAACATTTCCCTGCTGTGAACACTGGAGGATTTATGGATATATATTTAAGACATAAAACAAATAACACTGATACAATAGAGCAAGAGAATGTTTTGAGATGTGCAAGTAAATACAAATAAAATACAAAATAGTGCAAGAAGAGTCTATACACAAGTAAATGGAATATGATCAGAGATGGCAAAAGTAAACACATCCTTTACTCAAGTAGAAGTACAGATACTCGTGTTTAAAGATACTCTGGTGAAAGTAGAAGTACTGACTAAACTTCTTTACTCAAGTCAAAGTAAAGAGGCTTTGAAATGTACTTCAGTAAAAAGTACCCATAACTAGCAGCTGTTTTAAAGAGTACCTGACCTCCCTTTATATTAATAGAACAATAATGTCATTGTTAGCTAATGAATGTTTCCATGCTGAACAACGGCAACATGACAACGTTTTCATTGGTCCCTCTTCTTTAGAGAAGACCAGGAAATGATGGATACACGGATCGTGTCCAAATCAATAGGCACGCAATGACTCTAAATAATAATGATCACGCCACCAAACACACATTCAAACTAAAGGAACCAGCCTGTTTGGGAAATGTGAGAAGTAGAAAGTACAGGTATTTGGGTTCAACATGTAAGAAGTAGAAAGTACAGGTATTTGTGTTCAACATGTAAGAAGTAGAAAGTACAGGTATTTGTGTTCAACATGTAAGAAGTAGAAAGTACAGGTATTTGTGTTCAAAATGTAAGAAGTAGAAAGTACAGGTATTTGGGTTCAACATGTAAGAAGTAGAAAGTACAGGTATTTGGGTTCAACATGTAAGAAGTAGAAAGTACAGGTATTTGTGTTCAACATGTAAGAAGTAGAAAGTACAGGTATTTGTGTTCAACATGTAAGAAGTAGAAAGTACAGGTATTTGTGTTCAACATGTAAGAAGTAGAAAGTACAGGTATTTGGGTTCAACATGTAAGAAGTAGAAAGTACAGGTATTAGTGTTCAAAATGTAAGAAGTAGAAAGTACAGGTATTTGTGTTCAACATGTAAGAAGTAGAAAGTACAGGTATTTGTGTTCAACATGTAAGAAGTAGAAAGTACAGGTATTTGGGTTCAACATGTAAGAAGTAGAAAGTACAGGTATTTGTGTTCAACATGTGAGAAGTAGAAAGTACAGGTATTTGTGTTCAACATGTGAGAAGTAGAAAGTACAGGTATTTGTGTTCAACATGTGAGAAGTAGAAAGTACAGGTATTTGTGTTCAAAATGTAAGAAGTGGTCAGAAAAATAAGTAGTGGAGTAAAGTACTGATACCTGGTACTTAAATACAGTAAGGAAGTATTTGTACTCCTCTACCTCCCACCTCTGGATATGATATCTAGATAAATAATTAGTAATCAGATGGATGTTCTTCACAGAGTGTTTAAAGTCTTAAAGGACAGTAATCTGTGTTTCTGCAGACGGACGGGAACCGGATCTACAAAGACCTGAGGAACTACATCAACTCCGTCAGAGGTGAGGGGCTTTGTTCATGCTGCTTTCTTTATGATTCTCTTTTGTTTTAATAGTATTGTTTAATAATTAATAAAGTTTCTCGTAATTATTTTTGTTTGTTTTTTAAAATATACTTTACACATTTTTAAAAAAAAAATTTGTATTTTATTCTATAGTTATAATTCTTGCATGTTGCACGTGCATGTGTTTTTTAATATTTGTAATATTTAACTGTATTTCTCTTCTATTGTATTCATGTTTCCTGATGTTTGCAAAAGTTATTTTGTTTGGTAGCTGCAGCGTGTAATATATGTTTTATTATTATGTTTTAATTTTTGTAAATTGTGTAACTTTTTACACTTGAGTAAAGAAGTTCAGTCAGTACTTCTACTTTCACCAGAGTATTTTTAAACACGAGTATCTGTACTTCTACTTGAGTAAAGAAGTTTAGTCAGTACTTCTACTTGTACCAGAGTATTTTTAAACACGAGTATCTGTACTTCTACTTGAGTAAAGGAGTTTAGTCAGTACTTCTACTTGAGTAAAGGAGTTTAGTCAGTACTTCTACTTGTACCAGAGTATTTTTAAACACGAGTATCTGTACTTCTACTTGAGTAAAGGAGTTTAGTCAGTACTTCTACTTCTACCAGAGTATTTTTAAACACGAGTATCTGTACTTCTACTTGAGTAAAGGAGTTTAGTCAGTACTTCTACTTGTACCAGAGTATTTTTAAACACGAGTATCTGTACTTCTACTTGAGTAAAGGAGTTTAGTCAGTACTTCTACTTGTACCAGAGTATTTTTAAACACGAGTATCTGTACTTCTACTTGAGTAAAGAAGTTCAGTCAGTACTTCTACTTTCACCAGAGTATCTTTAAACACAAGTATCTGTACTTCTACTTGAGTAAAGAAGTTTAGTCAGTACTTCTACTTTCACCAGAGTATTTTTAAACACGAGTATCTGTACTTCTACTTGAGTAAAGAAGTTCAGTCAGTACTTCTACTTTCACCAGAGTATTTTGAAACACGAGTATCTGTACTTCTACTTGAGTAAAGAAGTTTAGTCAGTACTTCTACTTTCACCAGAGTATTTTTAAACACGAGTATCTGTACTTCTACTTGAGTAAAGAAGTTTAGTCAGTACTTCTACTTTCACCAGAGTATTTTTAAACACGAGTATCTGTACTTCTACTTGAGTAAAGAAGTTCAGTCAGTACTTCTACTTGTACCAGAGTATTTTTAAACACGAGTATCTGTACTTCTACTTGAGTAAATAAGTTTAGTCAGTACTTCTACCTGTACCAGAGTATTTTTAAACACGAGTATCTGTACTTCTACTTGAGTAAAGGAGTTTAGTCAGTACTTCTACTTTCACTAGAGTATTTTGAAACACGAGTATCTGTACTTCTACTTGAGTAAAGGAAGTGTGTACTTGTACCCTCTCTGTGGATCACACAGCAACAAATGAATGTGCATTGACTTCCTGTTGCAGAAGCAGATCATGAAGTCCATACATCATGATGTGTCATTTGTAAACTGTGTAATTCCTACTTGTGTCTTTACTTATGTGTATGCATGCTTCTTAGTTAACATGAAGCTGTAACAACGTACCTTTCCCCTCTGTGGGACGAAGCTTCTGATTCTGATTCTGATCATATACTTTGTCTCTTTTATTCTAATGAATGTTTCTTTTACATATAACGTTTTTTTTTATATATATATATTTAACATACAGAAGTGGTTTGTCTGCAGACATGCGAGAGGCTTCGCGGCGTGTCTCCCAGTCTCTGTTCGACTCGTACGAGGCGGACTGGGCCGGAGAGGAAGACCTGGCAGGCATCACGGAGGTCAGTGTGCAGATTCACCACTCAGTGCACATTCAACAAAGGCTGCACGGGTCACTTCATTTAGGGTTCATTACATCAAATGAAAATAAATCAAATTCTATTATTACTAATGTGCGCTTTTTCTTCTCTATGTTTAATAAGTTAGCATATTCTTTATTATTGCATGCCTTTTGTTTGACCTGCTATTGCTGTAACGCTGTAAATGTCCTCGCTGTGTGACTAATATTATTTTAATTATCATACATTTGACCTCCTTGTGTCATGTTATATTTAGCTGCATGTACCTTTTAAAGTTCTTAACAAATAATCTGAGGGGAATTTCTAAAATAAAGCTTTAATATGAATAAAGGATGATTCTGATCTCCTCATGAATGTGAGTGATATGTGTCTCCTGTGTGTTCAGGGAGAGGACCTGCTGTGGAACGACTTCGAGGTGAAGCTGCTGGACCAGGCCGTCCGCACCATGGAGTCCTACGTGGGACAATTCCCAGATATCAGGGTGAGACGAGCACAACACACACACACACACACACACACACACACACACACACACACACACACACACACACACACACACACACACACAGACAGAGACACATACATACACACACACACACACACACTCACACACATACACACACACACACACACACACACGCACACACAGACAGAGACAGACACACACACACACACACACACACACACACACACACACACACACACAGACAGACAGAGACACACACACAGACAGACAGAGACACAGACAGACATACACACACACACACACACACACACACACACACACAGACAGAGACACACACACACACACACACACACACACACACACACACACACACAGACAGACAGAGACACAGACAGACAGAGACACAGACAGACATACACACACAGACATACACACACACACACACACACACACACACACACACAGACAGACAGAGACACAGACAGACAGAGACACAGACAGACATACACACACAGACATACACACACACACACACACACACACACACACACACACACAGACAGACAGAGACACACACACAGACAGACAGAGACACACACACACACACACACACACACACACACACACACACAGACAGAGACATACACACACACACACACACTCTCACACATACACACATACACACACACACACACACACACACACACACACACACACACACACACACAGACAGAGACAGAGACAGAGACACACACACACACACACACACACAACACACACACAGACAGAGACACACACACACACACACACCACACACACACACAGACACACACACACACACACACACACACACACACACACACACACACACACACACACACACACACACACACACACACACACACACACACACACACACACACACACACACACACACACACACACACACACACACACACACCACACACACACACACACACACACACACACACTCAGGATTTATTCCATATTTTATTCCTTTTTATTCCATTTCTTTGTAAATACTGCTATATTTTACTATATTTATTATTATTTTAAATATTTTTCTAGCTCTCTATCTGTGCTTTTATGTATGCACCACGACACCACGCCACATTCCACGTACGTGTCCACCTACCTGGTGATAAACCTGTGTCTGATTCAGATTCTGACATCACTTTGCAAACCACACGCCTTCTACCCGGAGCTCCTGTGCTCTTCCCTCCGCAGGAGAAGGTGGCGAAGCGCGGCAGGAAGCTGGTGGACTACGACTCCACCCTGCACCACCTGGAGGCTCTGCAGAGCGCCAAGAAGAGGGACGACGTGAAGATCATCAAGGTGAGGACGGGGCATACTGCACCTGCTCACAGACACACACATCAGCACACACATCTGAACACCTGGAGCTCAGGAAACTACAACAAGACTCAGACACTCAAATAGAAATGATAAATAACGTCTAAGCAGGAATGTGTTCAATATATTGGTCTCACTTGTTCAAATCTAATTGTCAAAACACTCCAATGTCAGAGAATACAAGAGCCTCAGGTGACCTCTACCTTTTTACATTTCTGTTATGTATTCATGCGCTGATCTCATCATTTGGCTTCATCCCCAGAAAGACAATCTAAATACAAATGTTTACTGAAGTGTTCCTCATTTTAGCGCCACAAGTTTGCAGTTTGACCTGACATCTTGTGAGTTTAAGAGATGATCGTAAAGACACATTCGATCACATGCTGATACAATGCAATATATACTTAAACAACATATTCACTGTATTGTAACTATATGTATACTGTATACACTATACAAACATGTTGTTGGGACAAATACAAACACTTTATGAAGAGTAGAAAAAGGACCACAATGTAATACTTTTGAATACGTGACTCTTAAAGTATGACAGCCTTTTTTAGTTGGTGCTCTGCAACAGATATTCATGTTAAAGCTGCGTGCAATTCTTTTTACTTTTGCAATCATTTCATGATTAAGCGTCTTGAGAAAAGGAGGGATTCTGGTTTTGTGTGCATGCATATGTCTTCTTCTTCTGTGCATGTATTTAAAAGCTCTTGCGTGTGTTCCCTGCAGGCCGAAGAGGAGATGCATGAAGCCAGGAGTGTTTATGAGAGCATCAACTCCGAGCTGAAGGACGAGCTGCCGGTGATCTTCGACAGGTCTGACGGCGTTCTCGCAGCACAGGGGAGCGTCTGTAAATACGTACAAATATTAAATCATGTTCTCATCTGTTTCCCTGCAGCCGCGTCGGGTGCTTCGTGTCGGCCTTCTCTGCTGTTTCACATTTAAGGAACACCTTCTTCAAGGAGATGAGCACGGTGTGTTTCTAAAGTGCTTCAGTATTTATTTCTATAATGTGTTTTATTGTTTGTTTGTGAACCCGTGTTGTGCTCCTGCAGCTGAACCTGGATCTGCAGAGCGTGATCAAGGAGCTGCAGGCTCAGCATCCGGAGAAAGTGTTCGCAGTGAAGGGTCTGCAGAGGTCAGAGGTCATCTCTATCTGAATACATGTAGACCAGGGGTGTCAAACTCAATTTCATCGTGGGCCACATTAGCGTTAAGGTTGCACTCAAAGGGCCGGCTGTAACTATATAAATATACATATATAAATATATAAAATAATGTATTATATCACATCATTGCCTCTGAATTGGATTATTATCGGATAGGGTAATAACTTAGTAATTAACTACGTCTGAAAGCAGAAGTCCAGGGCAAATAACTGCAAGTCTCTTCAGTGCGCATGTCACAAAAGGAGATGCATTGTGGGACATGTAGTTTATGGGCAACGTGATTCTGTAAAGTGGCGTGTGACCGTATAATAAACGTATTATATTATTTGCAAGCTCTTGCGGGGCCACAGAAAATGAAGTCGCGGGCCGGATTTGGCCCCCGGGCCTTGAGTTTGACACCCCTGATGTAGACGTTTCAAATCTGAATTATTCCCAACAAAATGATACCTTAATACTCATGACACTATGCATAACAGAATAATAATCATAATAAGAATAAAAGGAGGGAGGAACTTTTAAGTCAAATGAATAACTAAGTTGTGCTTTGGGAAGGTTCATGTATTTACATTTTATTGTTCCAAGTGTGTGCGACGCCCAGTTATCAGAGAGTCATAACATACGATTTAGGATTCTTCAGCTCCTAAAGATATTTATTGCAAATACTGGATCCAAAGGAAATGTAGAAAAATATATAAAAAGTACAACAATTAAAATAGTACTTGCATATATGGTATTTTGTAGTCCTTTAAAATAAAAATAAATATGACATGTTAATAAAAGCCACTTTGAATCGTTCCCTGTGTCTCAGGTACGGGTCCCTGAAGAGACGGACCCTCACCTCCCCTAAAGCCTGGAAGTCCAGTTTCTCTGAGTTCCATAAGAGCTACAGCCCCAAGCCGTCCCGCTTCAGCTTCAGGTCTCCGGACAAACCGCGGCACAGCACCCTGTCCCGAGAGAGCAGCACCTCCCTGCCCACCTCCCCCCAACCCTCCTCCTACAACTCCTCCCCCCACTTCCCCCCCCAGGAGGACCTGCAGGAGGACCTGGACGCTGCATCCAATCACAACGAGAGCATCAGTCCTCCAGCAGAGGAGGTCCAGCAGGAGGAGGGGAAGCCAGAGGAGACTCCTGCAGAGCCTCAGGTGAAACAAACACGTCCATTTCATATTTGTTCTTGTTATTATTTCTTGCCTTTTTTACCTGCGATGCCACTTTTGCTGTAACACTGACACACTGTGGGACCAATGACACACTGTGGGACCAATGACACACTGTGGGACCAATGACACACTGTGGGACCAATGACACACTGTGGGACCAATGACACACTGTGGGACCAATGACACACTGTGGGACCAATGACACACTGTGGGACCAATAACACACTGTGGGACCAATGACACACTGTGGGACCAATGACACACTGTGGGACCAATGACACACTGTGGGACCAATGACACACTTAGGGACTAATACAATAATTGTGATTCTGAAAAGGAGGAGAAAGAGGGGAAGAAAGAGCGGGAGAAGGAGGAGGCGAAGGACAGCAGCTCTGAGGGAAACCCTTCCTGTGATTCTGAGAGTCTGGAGCTGCAGCTGAGTGCCGCCGAGGAGACGCTGCACATCCAGGAGGAAGAGGAGGAGGAGAAAGGAGGAGGTGGAGGAAGAGGAGGAGGAGGAGGGGGTCTGAAGGAGAACAGGCTGCAGAATGGAGACGGAGTCGGGGTCATCTCTGATGGACAGGAGGTCAGAAACAAGGTGAGGGTTTGAATCAGTGGTTCACAACCTTTTGTGTCCCGTGGACCCCTTAAGCTGGTTCTAGAAGAACCCCCTCACTCCTCTGTGATGATTGGTCTAAATGTGTTCTTATATTAAACCCTTTGTAATCGTGTTCAACCCAACTGCTCTTTAAATGAGAATCCCTTGTATAACTCACCCTTAAGACAAATGCATTTAAACCTTTACACTTAGTGTCAGTGAAAACTATTATATTAGGACTCTCTTCTAGTTTCAACCTCTGTTGTTAAGACTGGAGCTTTAAATGAGACACTTGAGCTTTCTGCGGGAGGACACCAGGCTTATGAGAATTGTTTTTTGTGTGGGATTTACATTGCAATCCCTAGTCTTTCTCATCCCCTCAACTACCCCTAGGGGTCCTCGTACCCCTGGTTGGGAACCACTGCTTTAAATAACGTGGTGAGATATTTGTTGTCAGTAATCTCCTGGTGTCAGAGGTGGAGAGAAACCAAGAACCTTCACTTTAGAAACTCTATACTTTCTACTCCAGCGGTTCTCAACCTTTTCCAACTCAGGACCCTAACCCTAACCCAAACCTAACCCACTTAAGAATCTAAACAATGTTCGCTGGCCCACATTCAACCATAAACAATACGGAGGCTAAATAAAGTTCTGATTGGTCGATTCAGAACATGTGACACATTGTAAATCCAGTAGAACAGACCGTTGCTAAGGACTGTAATGCCCGTTGCTAAGGAGGATCAAGAAAGAGAAAGGAGAAGAGGTTGAAATAAAATAAAATAAATCGTAATAATTAAAATGTTTCCACACAAATCATAATGTTTTGCAAATGATTTGAATGCCCACATCATGCAGTGCCTTCACCAACATAGTGACAGTGCTATAGAACACTCACGCTCCTATTGGCTAGCGCTCCAACACATTGTACGTGATAGGCTAAGGAGCGGGACATCTCAGAGCGGTTGACCAATCACAACAGAGCCAGTCAAATAAAATAAAATTGAATAAAATAAAATAAAAACAATTAAAATAAAGATATTTATATAAACACAAGACAGTGCATAATAAAATAAAAACACACATTAATAAAAATATATAACACAAAGAGAAATAGTTACGAAACGAGAGATGATTTGAAGTATAATCCAAAAAATGAAAAAGCTTTTAATGAAAGATCTTGAATGCAAGACTTTTACTTGTAGTATTTCTACACAGTAGTATTATAAAGTTATATGTGACTCTAGTTGTCTTTGTGTTCCCGTACAGGAGGCTCCTGCAGAGAAACCAGCGTCTCCGGACTCAAAGAGCACAGACGTCTAAAGAGATTAGGT